GCGACTTTGTTCTAGTTTTGAATTTTGGCCCACTGTGTATTTGAATTTGACACCCCTGCAGTAAGAGGTCAACAGCACACCTACCACTCCTAAAGCCTACAAAAGCCTTTAGGCAAATATATTTTCAGGGTGGGGCCTCTGTACTGCAGAGCCTGTTCCAACCAGACTTAAAGATGTAACATTTTCCAAATTTTTCCTTTATCTTCTTCCTAAAGTGAACTAAATACATTTAATGACTGGAACTCGGTCCCTCTGATGATCTTTACCAACCTGTACAGCGATGTGTGTGCCGTTGGATGTGGCCAGTAATGTGACAGGATGAATATCATCTTGCTCTTGGCTGTAACCTGCCTCCTCCACAGTTTGGAATGAAGCCATGTCAGGTGTCATGATGGCCACCTGGGGGCGACAAAAACGCTGTACTTAAATTACAGCTTAATTTTTGAGCCACAAATATATTTTTAAAAACACATCTGATTCCATCATGGAAGTTTACCAGAAAACGGAATAAATAATAAATTAAAATTGAAAACCTGATTTTAAAAAATATAAAAATACTAAAAATAAAGCAACTGATCTTTCTTAAGTTACTTTTATAATATATAGACTTGATTTTCAGCTCAGTTATTTAAGCTGAATACAACGCCACACTGAAGCCTTCCAAATAGAAAAAAAGCCCTTCACATTATTCTGAGTGCAGTCTACTGAGCTATGAGAGTTGTTTACCTGTTCATCTGAGCCATCTGTTGTTACCATGGTGACTGAGTGAGCACCCTGAGTTGCCAGCTCATGGGCTGGGATAGTTATGGTTGTGCCTTCTTGGGTTACCATGGTAATTGTGCCACCCATAGCTTGAAGGTCTGCCTCGGAGATACTGACCTGAAAGAGAAAAGAACATTGAGTCTGAACTACACTCTGACAACTTCAGATTGCATCCTTTAGCCAGGTCAAAGTCCCACTGAGATTAGAAATCGTCTTTTCAATAGTAGACAAACAGTCAGGAGACTTTGCAGCTGCCACTTGATACTTGATGTCACTTGAAAAAGCATATGCAAGAAAAGTACAAAGTTAAAACAGGAACAACCTGAAATGAATTTAAATGCTACTCTTACAGAAATCTCAGCTTCCTATTACCGTGCTATATGTTCATTTTAATATTCACAAAATCTCTGCTGCAGTTATCATCCAACCTTCGCACCATTAATATGTAAATTATATTTCTTCTACTATTTGAAATGCTATACATGTTTCTTTTGAACTGTTTTGAGCTGTTTTGGTCATTTGACACAGAACGTAAAGAGTGAGAGGTCAGTCTGCTCATCGTCTAACCATTTGTCAATTACTGGTTGTTAGCCAATTACCATCCTGGGCTTCCCTCCTTCCTGACTTGTAGGGGAAAAAAAATAAAAAATAAAAAATAATAATTAATTATATATATATGTATTTGTGTACTGTATGTATATATATAATATATATATATATATATATATTATTTATTTATTTATTTATTTATTTTTTATTTTTTTAAAACATGACCTGACATTGGTGACTGATCCCACAAACTCATTAGGAAAATGTTTACAAAAGTCAGGGCAGAAGGTCGCTTTCCCTATATAGTTTTCAGGGATCAGATGTCATTTTGCAGTCACGGCTATTGCCACTGGTGACCATTATAATGAATGTAGTTTTAAGGGATTTCTGAGGCGTTTGCTTCACATATGGTATATGATGAGCATCCTCGCTTCTTAAAAAAAAAAAAGTTATTTGCAACATGTTTATAGTCATGATGACGTTGTATTCTCTTACCTGTTGTTGTGTTCCATCTTCCTGTGTTACCAGGGCAACATGCTGCGGACCAACCATGTCGGAGCTTTCCACTGGAACCGGCTCTGATCCGGAGTCATCTGCCTCCACTACAGCTGTCGTGTAGCTCACATTGGGGTCATCGATGGCATCTGAATTGACATTAAGGATTCATTAGAATTTTGTAAGTTAATAAATACACAGTTTTATCTGAACTATTGTTAACATCTGTTTCCATTCTAAATTCCTACATCCCTCACAGACTTATCAAAAAAGAGAGGCCGTTAGAGAGGCCCCTTCACTGTCCACTTTTTAAAACACACGTTAAAACCCATTTTTATTCTTTGGCTTTTGACCGTAGTGAGACTTAGTTTCTCTTTTAATTAAATAATTTATTAACTAACAAATTAATTATTATTGGGGTTTTTTTGGCTTTTATTGATATCTTATGTGATTGTATTATTTCGTTCTAATGTACAGCACTTTGTGTCAGCTGTAGTTGTTGTTAAAGTGCTTTAGAAATAAAGATGATGATGATGAAAAAACATTTAAAATATTCGTTCTGTTTCGTTACATTTTACTGACCTGTTGGGGGTTCAAAGTAGGCTTCCTGCTCCTCTTCGATGGGCTCGGTGTCGTTGTGCGCTGTTCTTTTGTGCATGGCAAGTGTGGAAATCTGCTTGTAGGTTTTCCCACAATGATTGCAGTTGTAAGGTTTACAGGGCGTATGAACAACATGGTGTTTGTAAAGGCTGGAGTATTCTGTGAAGCGTTTTTCACACCCAGGCACTGTGCACACATACGGCTTCTCACCTGGAGTGGAAAAAATAGTAAGACAATGAGCATTTGACTTCATTTATTAAACTGCAAGAGAAGTGAAGACCCCCATCTTTATTGGTGTGTTGTTTCAGCACTCAAGAATTAATATATGCTTTACTTTTACATCACGTTTTCTTTATATGTAAGATCACAATGTAGTGAAGAACAGTGAACAGAGGGATTGGTCCCAGATATAGTTTACTAGCTTATTTCCATCTGCACATATAGACAACATTAGAGCTAGCATTAAGCTATGAAATCCAAATACATATCCTATATAGAAGACCAGTAAAAGGATTAAATGTCCACAAAAAGACTAAAAATCTAGATATTCTATAGATATTCTAGATAGTTTTAAAAATATATAGAAATAATGTTTGTTTGTTCTTCCTAGTAAAACAGAGTTTTTCAAACTTCAGTGTTAGACATGATGATTTAAGCGATCTTGAAACTTTATCAATTAACAGCTTAAAAGCTTTTTGCACAGCTTCTGTGGAAAAAAAACAAAACAAACTGTGCTGAGATCCAGGGGTTCAACTGGAGAGCACTTAGTGACTCACAACGACTCAGCAAGCTGAGTCATTATAAAATACCAAAGACTCACCAGTGTGAATTCGCATATGATTCTTGTAGTTAGTGGCACTGGCAAATGACCGTCCACAGCTTGGTTCAGAGCAGTAGTATGGCCGTTCTCCGGTGTGTGTTCGGATGTGAACTTTACGGATATTGGAGGTGGTAAATGACCTGCCGCAGCCTTCAACTGGGCATTTAAAAGGCTTCTCTCCTGCAAAACATGAAGTATGTCAACGCTGCAGCTTGAAATCTATAGAATTGTAAACCTGACAGAAATAGGACACAACACTGTAAGCAGCTGTTTAACATGACTAATGCTGGTATGAAAGTAGCCTTCAGGCCTTTATAAATAACCAGTGTGATTCCAACTGCAAAATGTCTGCTGTGTTTTAAAAAACAAGCAGGAGGAACTTGGCGTCATGCTTCTCGTGATGACCATGTGCCTGTGCTCCTGAAGCACTATGGTGGCTTTGAAAAATTTCAGCTCCCCTCATCTGTTGTTCAGCATTGGCTGAACAACTTGACACAACCCCCTCAAGTTGCTCAGCCAATCCTAGCTCTTCACCACCATGTGTTGTTTGTTTAAAAAAGACAGTGCTGTGTGGCTAGTTAGTTCAATCCATTTTGGTTCCAAACACTCCTTAAACAGCCCCTTCTGTATTAACAGTCCTGAAGTAATGTAGCTTTTACCAGCAGTAGCAAACAACAGTTAATCTCCTGGGTTTGTTTACAAACCTTATCAGGCTTATTGAGTGTTGCAACAACATTGTGACTTGTCAATGAGTTTCTGGGTGTGGTTGTTTACCTGTATGTGTCCTTGTGTGCTTTTGAAGGTCTCCAGAGGTTTTGAAGGACTTGCAGCAGTTTAACTCCTGACATCTGTATGGCTTCTCCCCCGTGTGTGTGCGCGAGTGACTCTTCAGTCCATAGCCTTAAAGAATCACACAATTTGACATTTAGCTAAATTACTATTCCATAACTAAAAGCAGCCTATTCCATATTTATACTGATCTCAGATATGGTCTTACGTTTAACAGCAAGAGTTTTTTCCAGCTCAAAACAGACCTTTAGGGATCTCTTTCAATATACTGTTTTATATTAAAATATAACATAACAGGCAACTGTTGTTGTGATTTGGTGCTCTATAAAAATAATAGAATTTAATTGAATGGGGTTGACTAAACTTGTGTTTACAAGTGGTAATTAAGGCAGTTTGTCTGGGGTGCTTTACTGAAGAGTCTGCATTTTCCACACATTTCAAGTCATTTGATAAACAAAAAATGTATTTTTTGCAAGTAAATTAAATCCCACTCAATTACAGCCTTCATTAAAAGGAAAAAAAAAAACTTACACAGTAATAACCTGACTAGTTCAATTGTCAACATCACTATGGTGATAATGAGATTTTAATCAAGGGTTTAAAAAAAAATTAAATTTGGCAACAAAAATAAAAGAAATTAGCCATGAGTCAACTTGTAATATTATATTATCTGTTGCTACCTGTTGCAAACTTCTTTCCACAGTTGGGATAGTCACAGATGTACGGTTTGTCTCCAGTGTGGGAACGCTCATGTACCTGCAGGACACAAACAAAACTGTAAAGCATTGCATTTCAGTAAATGGCAAAATCTTACAAAATGTTATCTTTAAATAAATTACACTTGAGGAGGCAAAAAAAAAAAACTTTTTAGAAAAACAAAGCACCCACACTTACCTTAAGATGGTGGGCAGTGGTGTACAGCTTTCCACAGCCTTCATATTCACAGCGAAAGGACTTTTCCCCAACATTTGAGACCCTTCCTGGCCTGTTGTCTTGTCCCTGTAACACAATCTGAAAGACAAGGCACAATTATGTATCCAATGTTAGACTTAACGTAAAGAGAAAAAAAAAGGAGAAATAAATAAAAAGAAACATTACCCGCATGTGGACACCATTGTCTGCTTCAACTCTGCCAAAGGTCCCCAGGGGGTTCTCTATATTCTCCACCTTTGAGGGAAAAGAAAGGGTATTTTAATATCTATTGGATGATCATAAATATATTAAACCAAGGGATATTAAATATGAAACTATAATATTTAAAATTGATAAACCATTATTACAGCAAAAATGGAACATTCAAAACAGGCAAATTTATAAAGCCTATGATAAGATAATATTTAATCTCATATTCACAAGTGACCATCTTGCCAAGATAACGACATAATAACTTTTTACACAAGCCAATTACATGTGCGCAGAACACAATGGTGTTAGTGGTTTTCTTTTACCTAAAAATATTGTGTGACATGATAAAATGCCACTACGTTGCAAGCTCATATCAATATTCCTCTTTGCATCCTCACTGTTACACCTGTCTGCCTCTTACTCACACACGTGTTCTGTCTCGCTTCTACTGACATTCATTCCTCTTCTCTCCAGTGCACTCCACCTCTCTGAGCTCTTCCACCTGCTCCCTACTCTCATTACAGATCATAGTGTCATCTGTAAACATCACAGACCACAGAGCCTTCTACGTGACCATCACCTTTCCAAACAGGAAGGGCCTCAGATGGTACCACCCCACCCCCATCCTTGAATCCACCTGTCACTTATACTGCATACCCCACTACTTTCTCGCTGTCATAATTCTGTGTCAACACACACACACACACACACACACACAAAATGTAGAGTTGGTACCACACCAGTACAAAGACAAAGCACACGTACCTTAGTGGTATACTGTTCTAGCACGCTGATGGTCTCTGGGTCAATAGCTGCCGCCTCCGCCTGCAGGTCTGCGATGGTGCCATCAGCCTGGATTGCCAGGATGGTGTTGGACTGGGGCATGTGCACAGTGTGCTGAATGTAGGCGGTGCTCCCATCCTCCAGCTGTACCTCCTGCAGGCCACCCTGATCATATGTTTCTGCACAGAAATTAGGAGAAGGACGCAGAAACTGAAACTCGCTGATGAAACTGAGCTTTGTTCCAGTAAAAATCAAAAAGTTTGGGGAGGGAAATAATAGTTTCCTGCATGTCTGGACCCAAACTTAATTCTTCTTTGTGGTGAAATCCTTCAACTTAAGAGTTTTTATTTATAAATGTTTTGTACATTTTCTAGTCCAACACCAACATTTATGTAACCATTTTTATGTAACCGTGTTGTCCCATGAATAGACTGGTTTTTAAAAAAGAAGATACACATGCACATGAACATTTTTTAATGTCTGTGAACTTGCAGCTTAGCCGAACTCTGCAAATAAATTTATAAAAAAAGAGTTTATAGGAAGGGAATATAATAAAGGATAAGCAGATGTCTTTTGACTATTTTCTTTTACTGATGCAATGAAACATTAAAATAATCAACTAAATAGATGAAAGATGCTTAAAATTCAATTCAGTTTGATTAGGTGCTATTTACCTTTGGGTGTGTGAATATAGGCAGTGGTTCCGTCTTCTAACTGAACAGCCTGTCCATCTTCAAGCTGTAAACTGCCCCCCCCTTAAAATGCATTAAAAATAAACATTACTCACATTCACTTCTTCATTAGTGTGTTCTTGGTTAGCTACTAGTGAGCTTTTGTTACATAGATGACATGCAATTAAATTACAGCCTTGCACTGTGCCACAAACACAGTACACAAAGAATAAGCTCTACTCTGCTATTGGTATTACAATATTTCCATTTTATTTACCCGCTTTAGGCATGGGCACATGCTGAACATAGGCAGCAGAGCCATCCTCCAGCTGGATAACTTGGCCGTCCATAATCTGTCCATCTGAAAAGGAACCTTTGGTGTCATGCTGGATATATGCAGTGGATCCATCCGCAAGTGTAACAGCCTGCAGACTCACTGTGTCCATACTCTCCATCTGATCTGCATCTGGGAAATAAGAGAGTAGTAAAACATAGACTTTTAGTTTAAGGAGTAATGGAGTAGATCGTCACAAAATGAAACAACAGGACTGCGATGTGATGCCCTTTGTCCCAGCTAATACCAGATTACTTCTGGACACAGTTTTGCCATCCTCAACCAAAACTGGGACTGAAATTCAAATGTGATTAGATGTACAGTTCTGCAGTGATGTCAGTAAATTTTTTGTAACAACAGAAAGTTTAAAGGCTCACCTCCCACTGTCACAGCCTCTGCTAGACAGAGTGTGACCGGCTGCCCATCTGCATCATGAAACTCTGCCATTCCCTGGGAGTCCCGGTTTATCTGGGCCAAGAGCATGCTTTAGCTGCTGCAGGGGAAACAGGCAAGACACTCAAATGAAATGCATACTGACACAGGCACTGGAAATGCAGATACTGTGCAGTTATTTGATAACTGGATGTAACCATTAAGAATCTTACTTAATGTTGTTGCTGTTGCAGTGCCCCTCAAATCATCGCTATTCCTCCAATATGTGCAATACATACATATATAAATGTTTTTTTCAGTGTCTAAACACACTCAGTAAATACAACCAACAAACTAGCAAACAACCATACAACTGCATAGAAATAATGTGTTATAACTTAGTTTTGATTTACTAGAATAACCTAACCTAAGTGTGAAACAAAATAAGTTAAGTGAAAGAGTAAAACAAAAATAGATTTTTTTTATAAACAAAAATTAACTTGAGATTTTCTGCACTAAATGAAATTTTTTGTTTTGCCAGTTTCAGCATGGTAACATGTGTGAACACAAACAACATTAGCACATATTTACCTGCGAAGTGAGTCAAGTTTGTTTATGAAATGTCTGCAACATATACTTCTTATTCTAAGCTCAGCCCCAGACAAATACCCCTCATTCAAACTAAAGATACAACACTTGTGAAATTGGAGCCAATGTAACAACTTGCTTCATATCAGGCTTCATAGTTAATCTATTTCTATTGACTCAATGGAATTGATACCAGTGTTAGGTGTTTGCATTGTTTTATTCATTTTCTTTTTTGTACCAAGGAAACAAAGTAATCTCATATAGTTTGTTTCTTTTATCGTCATAAAAAATAAGCAAAATTTCAAATCTTCATCACACCTTTTAACATTTATTAAGTGGAAAATTTATGTTGCATAAAAGATAAACATCTGTAAATGTCATGTGTTTGCCAATAGGTGATATGAGTCAATAAGGCCGATACTGGTTGATAACATTGTTCAGCTGATATATTACAACATCTCTAACAAAAAGTGAACCGAAACGAACAAACTAACTCTGGAAGTTAAATGAACAGAAAATCTAACACAAATACAAAATAAAAATGTCAAGAAATCCCTACAACTCTGGTGACCTAATCAGACATATTGTGGATATTAAACGCAGAAAGAAGAAGCATATTAAAATTCGTTATAGCGTTCTTCTGACTTGCTCTGTTTTCAAGTTCAAGTCATAAACATGACATCACTTATTATAATAGTTTATTATTAAACTATAATAAACCAGTCTAACAGCTCTGCTCAGCTCACATTTGGTAATTCAATCTTTTACTAGTGTCTTATCAATAACTTAACGTCAACATTACTTGCTTTTGGTCCAAATCAACGCGCTTGTTGATTTGGACTCAATACTTGGAGCTAGCTACTTACGATGTAGCACAACTATGACTTGCCACATTAGTCAAGTCTGTTGTATATCAAACAAGTGTATTTAACCGCCTTTGGTATCCCAGGATTCAGTTATCACACTGACAGCGTGTCTAAACGCTGAGTTAATGACTACAGCCACAGAAACATGCCGTAATGGAGTAAGCTTGATAGCCGCTTCGTAGGCTAACAACATTGCTAACTATGACAAGCAGCGCTGTCACGACTTTCACAGCGGTTGTTGGCGAACTGTTTCTCGATGACTGCGGTTATCGAGATCACAGAGACTTCTAAATGATTTTGTGAAGTCTAAAAGGGCTCTGGAATGACAAATGGAGGGCTAGCTAACTCACGCCATACAGCTTCCCGTTTGACTAACGAGCGACGCAGTTGGAAAACAAGAGCGAGGAATCCGCGAGCTAATTAATGATAACATAAGCATTTTGGCTCGGTGGGTGTCAATTTTATTTTATGATTAAACAGCCGTCTCCCATTCTTGGACTGAATCCCCACCGCAACCTGTCACTCCCTCTCACAGAGATGGCTGAGGGAATAATGCACACTGGGTAAAAACCAATTTATATACTAACCTCCGAAAAATTTCCAACAATTCCTCCTGTTCGACCACCATGCAACAGTGCAGGAAACGGTCGGCGATGTTCACAACCCGGGAACATGTATGACAGAACTATCCTTACCGTGTTGTCCCGCCCATTCTCTATTGAGGGATTGGTCACCGACTCGCAAAGCCCACTCTTATTGGGTTAGGCGTGTGCCTGTTACGTTCATTCGAGTCTATACTGCTGTTATTCAGCCTCCCGGGCCCCTGGCAGACGCCATTCCGCGTCCGTTTTCGCATTGTCTCGGCAGTTTAACTGTAAATGCGCTGCTACGTCGTTACAAAATAATTATTTAAGCATGAAAGGTAGACGATAGTCAGCCGACATTGTAGATTCCGAGCCACCGTGCGACACAAAATGTGGTTAAATGGGTTCGCCAGCGACATAAACTGCGCTGTGGTGGAAGAATTTTCGGCATCCATGTTGAAAACAAGGTCGTGTGGGTAAAAAAAGGGGGAATGTGGGCAATGCAGTGAAAAGAGGCTCGCTGGGATAAAATGACACTACAAACTACACCCAGGACATCAGATAATCATCTTTTAAAAGTTGCAGATACAATTTCACCTCATGAACACCTACAAAAGAAGCTGAAAAGACGTAGAGATGTAGTCCTCAATGAGGCGAGAATGACTGTAGAAATGCAGGATTCACCTCAGGGTTGTCTATTTGTATTCCATGGATCAGATACTGCCCGATTAGATCTGAAGTTGAGCAGATTAATAACGTCATTGCATAAGAAAATCCCATAAAATGTTATCATTTCATTAAATGTAAAGAAGTACATCTGAATGAAAGTTCACCTGGTATAGGTAAGATTTTAAAAATTTTAACCATAAGCCACACTGACAGATATCCTTTGCCTTCCCAAGTCTTCTAGATGACAGGACTGTTTACCAAAATAGATAATTGGCATTGGATATCTAAAGAAAAATCAATTTTCAAAAATACATCTCAGTTCTTTGACATTCATTGAGTCTACTATCATTTCATTTCATTTAAAGATCACAGGAGGAAAGGCACCAAATGTTCACATGAATCATAACTTTGTAAAAATCTAGAAATACTTTTAAAGTGACTTGGCTACAGTTTTCACACTTTGCAAAGTCATACAGCGGGCCGCGTTGGACACTTTGGTGGGACAGATTTGGGATGTTGGAATGTTTGACAACCTTGAGTTTGACCCTGACAAAGATGCAATTAAAGTTTTAAAAAATCCAAATAGATTGATATGACAATGATAATACTGATCTATATGTCATACTGAAAAAAAGAAAATAAACTAGTAAAATTAATTAAAAAGATAAAATAATAAAGTAAACAAACTGTTTAAAGTGATTGCTATGGAATGGAGAAAAACTAAATGTTAATTACACACATGCACAGAAAATAATTATTTAATTATCTGTAAGACTTTTTTTTACACTTTCAGTACATTTTTTCACATTATAAACTTTGACCTCAGAGCAAAAATATGGATTTGTAATGAGAAATGATTTTGTTAGTCTTGTATTATTGCTTTTAATTAAGTAAACAACTACCTGCATGATGTAAATGTAGCAGCTCCAACTGATGTCAATATTTAGGTTTCAAACACAACCAGCTTGGGACAGTTTTGAGCCTTCTTATCTGAAACCAACACTTATAACCTCAGAGACACGAAACAGAACAAACACGAAGGGAACGCTTCATCGTCTACTGAATTGAAATAAATTAAATGTCAGGAATACCAGTCTGTCCTGTTAGGGAGCATAAACCACTGTCTCCTGCTCGGATGCAAATGACAGTGATGGCAAAATGAGAGAGGAGATGGCTTTGTGGATATCCCTCCTTTTTGGTGAAAGCAAGGGTGAGCTGCTCACTGAAAGAACATTTGGACAGTGCTGTCATATATATACATTTTTTCCCCATTTGAATAGAGAGAATATTTTTGAATTATTTGCTGTAGCCCAGTACTCATGCTTTCTTTTTAGTGATTCATATTTTCTAACAAACAATAAAATGTTATTAAAAATAGAATTTAGAAAAAAAGGGATTTTATAAATTTTTTTATTTCCTGTTACAACCCTCACCAAAAAGCCTTTGTTTTGCAAAACGTGAGTTAACTCTTACAGGCCTGCTGCTCATAGAGCTTCACATTTTGTGCAAGTGGTTTCTCCACGTGAGAGCGTGTTATTGGAGTCACGCTGCAGCAAAGTGACGTATGTTTCCCTGTTTTCGTTCTACCTGCCTCAAGTAAAAGCAAAGTCACGCAAACATACTGAATGAGACCGGAAGCTGCTGTCAAAATAAAACCGGTGAGAATTCAGAAAGTTCTAGAATTTGTCATCCCACTAAAGCTGGCAAACACCCAAGAAATGCATACATGAATATAACATATTGTGGATTATGTGCAAGCGATATCAGTCATTATTAAACATTCAGTGCACCACAGTGTTTCTTTTACTTTTTGATGTTTGCATCTGTTTTGTTCCAGTGAATTATTGGCCCATCGTCTTTTCCGTTTTCTAATCATTTATGTTCCTTGAACATTTATATGAAACACAATAAATAAATAAATAAATAAACTTGTGGCGCGGACATATGCAGTACAGCTGGTCTTTGTAAACAGTGAGCTGTAGGCACTTTAATAGACTGTAGTCTGAGTTATCTGAAGCAAATGAACATAGCTTACCAGATTCGCATTGTAGGAGTTCTCAATCTTTTTCTGACATGGCACACTTAAGCGGCCAAAGGAAAAGAAATCTTACTTTTAACTGAAATATTCTTAATTCAGCATTTTGTACACAGAAAGAAAAAAATATTTTGAGTGTTTTTAAAGGTTGTACAATAAAAACATAAATTCAGGGTTGTGTTAGTGGAAGAACGAAGTAAATCCACTTTTCAGGGGTCTCAGAGTTGAGCAGTTCATGTAATGCAGGATTAAAACATCCATCCGTTCATTGCGCAATGGGCTATGCAGCGTTTGGAAAATGGGTTTTATTTTGAAAGTTCACAGCAGGATTCATTTTTACAACTTGGGCTGTCTTAACTACCTGTCATGTTACGGGGGAGTCTCCTCTTCTAATGTGGACTTGACGCATCGGGGATTCCTCATTAGGCTCGGTTGTATGCAGGCAGTCAGAGAGTCGGGGCAACACAAGCACACGTCCGCCATCATGTTTACAGGGATGCGGACAGAGAACCGCGGAGAAAAGGGGGTTCTGGATGCAGCGACTCTGAGGCAACAGAGGAGGCTGAAACAGGCGATCCAGTTCCTCCATAAGGACTCCGCTGATCTGCTTCCTTTGGATGGACTGAAGAAACTCGGGACTTCTAAGCAGGGGGTGAGCCTCATATCTAAGGCCATTATTATATAGACATTATATAGGTGATGGGGAGGAGGACCATTGCCTCTCTCTTTCTGTGTGTGTGTGTGTGTGTGTGTGTGTGTGTGTGTGTGTGTGTGTGTGTGTGTGTGTGTGTGTGAGAAATTCATCAATGATTTATACTCTAAAGTGAAAACCTGAATCTATATTGTTATCAGTCTATCCATTTTCCTAACCACTTCTAGCAGGGTGGCTGGAGCACATCTCAGCTGCCACCCGGTGAGAGGCAAGGTATACTCTGGAGAGACTGCCAGTCCATCACAGGGCTAAAGAGACAGAAAGCTATTTAATTTGCTTCCACATTCACACCAAGGGCCAATTTAGAATCACCAATGAGCCAAACATGGATGACTTTGGATTCTGTGAAGAAACCATAACACAAAAATATGTCAAAGTTAGGCGACACAATACTTTCTAAACTGTATACATGAGCTTAAAGATGGTCTTTATATTATAGCATTTTTAGCTCAGACTGTAGATCTGATTTTAGGCTTCGACAATACTGAGGATATATATTCAGTAGGCGTGCTTGTGTTGTTTGTAATCTCTGTTGTAGCAACCACACAATATTCTCCAGAAGCGCCTACTGGAGGCAAAGCTGTGCAGAGGCAGGATAAACATGTGTGGAGTAACACCAAGCAATGGAGAGGTTCGTCTGAGCCACAGCCATGTAAATTCACAGGAGGATGAGGAGGATGACTTCATCCTCGTGCCCTGCAAGGTGGGTGGAAGTTGGGCTACTTAAAAATTCTTTTCAAGCACAAAATATCCGTGACTTGTTTGTCAAAAGGATTTTTTTCCTCCTTATTTCTCCTATCTTACATGCACCTCCCCTGTGTATACAGTGTTTAGGACAGGAAGTGAATTTGCTGATTGATACAGGTTGCAAGTTGAATCTGATGTCTTCTGTGACTGCGGAGAGATTTGGGTGAGATGTCTTCACTAATTTTTCATTTTCCTGACACCAGTTGATTTTTCAGTGTCTCCTAAGTATGTACTGCAAACATCTGCAGCATGTGAGGTGAGAACTGTTGAATTATTTTGTTTCCCTTTCAGTTTAAAAGAACTGGTCGAAGAGATCAAAATGGAGACCGATGGCTTCCCATTTCAGCGCAGGCTCTGCATCGATGGTCACATCAAGGAGCTCGGCCTGACCGTCGGACAAATCAGGATAACTTGCTCATTTGCCATAGTGGGTAAGGAAGACAACAATCGTTGCCCGAATGAAAATTATAAGAACATTTTTATATGAAGCGGTGTCATCATATTACTGTTCATCTATTACATCTATTTTCAGAAAGTAACAAGCACCTCATGTCCTTGGGCAGCAAGACTTTAAAGATGCTCAAGGTAAATCTTCTGCTTTGCAACCACCATCCATCACCACCATACATCACCACCATCCATCACCACCATCCATCACCACCATCCATCACCACCATCCATCACCACCATCCATCCTGGAGGGGAAACAACACAGTGATGTAAACAGATGCAAGATAAAAGCTAGATGATTAACTACACTAACTAAAATGGCTCTACTATAACCAACGCGGTTCTGTAATGTTTTGACATTTCTGTTTTTGCAGTGTGTGATCGATACAGAACAGCAGATCATGGTGATTGGGACAACTGTGAGGGAGCAGATTCATTTTGCCAAAAAGCAATTCAGTGAAGGGTAAGATGTTTTTCTCATCTTTTAGCTTTAAAAACATTTTTTTCTTGTGCAAATTATATTTATACCTTTCAAAATAAGGTATCATGCAGTTTATCATACCTACAAATTAATATCATCAGGTGCAATCAAACATTCAAAACCTTCACAAAACTCTCATTTTTAAATTAGGGTGTAATCCACTACTTATAGAAAGTTGTGCATTGCTGGGAGTTTTTCATGCATTCATGCAGTGAAAAAAAATATCCATACACTGCTTATTTCAAGCACCACATTTTGCTTTCTGGAGTAGTTTTGCATTTTCATTATTGTAGCAGTATATGGAAAACATAATAATGGTGACTTTCATTAATGTTAACCCTTGCTTACCTTTAATTATTAATTAAGTTGGCAAAGCCTAAGTCTAACCAAATCTGCCTCTTCTCCCCCCACTTTCGTCTCTGCAGCTCCACAGACTTCAGAGACCTGGGTTACTAATCTTCCTACCCACAAATAAACCCACACTGACCAAAAGCAATAGGAACATTTACTCCTACAACCAGATGCCTCATTGGAGAACTTCAGATTTCTACCTTCACACACTTTCAGTTTCTGTTTGCCGGTTTGCTTGCTGCGTTTAGAAGTCCTGATGCTCCACAATGACTTCACTGATCTTAACGTTGGCAGCCTTTAAGGCAGCCGTTCTCACTCTGCAGCTGCTCGCACCTGCAGGTTAACATGTAGCGTTCTTTTAGCCCAGAGTGTGTGAGTCTCGTATTAGCAGTCGCTACAGTAGTACGTGCTGTGCAGGTAGTTAACAGAAGCTGTAATCTCTAAGATTGTGATATAACTGTGATTTTTAGCTCTTTGTAATATCCAGCAAATTAGTATTATGCTGCCAGACATGGTATTCTGCAGCCGTGGAGAACAACTGTTAGTTTGTGTAGATTAGGAGCTCAGCACAATCTACTGAATACAGATTAGACGTTTCTCTACTATATTTGATAATGTTGTAAATGTATTTTCTAGTTGAATCATGTATTTGCATTGAGGTCACTGCCTTTTAATGTTTACAGGATTGTAGTGACACTTGTGATAGGTTTTATCACCCAACGGAGGCAAAAGTGTACCACTGAATAAACAAATGAACGGTGACATTTTAGTGCCTTTGCTCATTTTTTCACATGAGCTGTAGCACCATGAAAATCTTATCAGTGCCATTTTATCTGAGAGCCATTTATGAATGTGGGACCGGCTGAAGGTGACCTAATTTGAGTTGTTAATTAGAGGAAAAATCAAATAGAGTTAGGAGAAGAAAACTCCTGACACATCTGCAGAGATTAGTGTCATTTTTCACAGCTGCTGTTTTTGTGTAGCTGTACCATAGCAACTGTAGCGTGACCCGGCCTGCCGACTGGCAGGTAAACAGGCCCTCCAGTGGTTATGAAGAGGGCCAGCGCGGGCTTGAACACCACGGAAACCGACATAAACAATGGGTTGAAGTTGTTGTCTGCAGCTGACTGTGATCGACACAAAAAATGTAGGTAATGTAATCTGTGTTTTAAATGTGTTATATTTCAATTGTAGTGACTCATGTTTGTAGCTGCTTTCTTTACTGAAGGAGGTTAATAACTGTGTTTGCTATTTTTGCGGACATAGAAAGAAATGTTTCAAGTTTCTCTCCGTATTTGAGTCAACTTGATGGAAGTAGATTTACTTAAGTCCTCTAACTTTACATTTGATTAGACTACATGCTTTTATTCCACTACATTTATCTGATAGTATGGTGAATTTGTAGATTTGGGGTGATATTACAAAGTACAATAAAATAAGAAACGATATATATAATATTAAAAATATATATATTAAAATGTAAAAAACTACTACCCAGCAAAATATAAAGTTAGTATATACAATATATATACAGTATATGTTCAGTATATATAGTCACACATGAAAGTAATTAAATGAGTCCCATCTTCACCTATTGCAACATTAAAGAGACGTACACATTAGTATATCAGTTATTCCAATATGATCCAGTAATACAGACAGTTCTAAAGTTGGCCTCTTTGCATTATGACTAATTGGAATAATTATTAAAAACATAACATTAAAAACAAAAACTGTAATTTATCTATACATTTAGAAAAGTGCTGATTATTTTTCATAAAAATTGATGCAGGTGCTCAGTTTAAAATTTGGTAAAGTGTGTTCTAAAACAAAAAAAAATCTAAATAAAGATTAAAAAATGTTCACAAGATATGTAGATATTTTCATTGTTATGTGTTTTGTGCTTTTTGATAATATGTTTGGCCTAAATATAGTTCAAAGATTTTCAGGTGATTCCTCGCCCTTTCTCACTGTCTTTTCACTATTACAGTTTACAAAAAAGGCAAAAAATAAAAGAAAACTGTGTGATTCCTTCCCATTACCACAGTGTTACTATGACATCTGGACAGATGGTGACATGTGAGGCTGCACTGATACCACTGCTCCTGGGAAAGCAGGGATGCAACATCACGTTTGTCCTGGAAAGCTCTGAGAACATGAGAGCTGTTCTGGGGTCAGTGAAACACCTGCTGATCCAGACGTTGCTGAATAAAGCATCTCACAGGGACTCTCTCTTTAACATCATGAGCTTTTCAAGCAAGGTGAGGGGGATCTGGTAATTTGGGGCTTTTAATAATTTCTTTGTATGCTCATTTCCAGGGTAGAATGGTTGTACAGCATACTATTAACTTAAAACAAGAATCAGGTGCACTAGTTTGAATTTCTTTTGGATTTTTGATCCAGTGAATTCACACACAGGGCTTTTGATCACAGCTGTGCATGAAGTCAGTCAAGTGCAAAATTGAGTAAACTCATATAGTATACTACCTCACCTTTATATGATTTGATTTTTAAATAACTAATCACTCTTATTCTTGCATTTTCTTCATTTTTTTTAATCTCACCCTGAGCTTTTAGTACTTTGAGGACATTTTTTAAGCTTGAGCAGAACCTCAGATTTCTTTCTTTCCCTTGAAGGTGACCTGCTGGTCCCGCCACATGTGCTCCTGTGCTCCTGACACAGTGTACACGGCTCTGTCCTGGATTCACTCCATCAGCTGCAGCTCAGGCAGAGATCTCTTGTCTGCTCTGAGTATTGCTCTCACCGACCCTGCCTGTCATGCCGTCCACCTTCTTTTCACAGGCTTTCCTGATCAACCAGAGGCCGTGCTGAGAGCTCTTCCTGCACTGGCAGTTGGGAGGCCTGTGAACGTTTTCTACCTGCAAGATATAGGAAATAAACTGGACAGAAACACTAGGGACTATCTGCAGTCTTTCACACAGACCACAAGGGGGAGCTGTTATCTGATTCCATTCGATTTGAATGGCACGCTGGAGAAGGTATAGACTGAGAATTGCTCGGTAGTTCTAAAAAATAGGCCCCACAGTGACTGTGAGTCTGAGTATGTGTGGTTCTATTACTGCTGTCAGGTGATTCCTCTGTACGTTGCTGAGAGCCAACCATCACTGCTAAGCTTCAATCCAGCCAAGTGGTGCTGTCCCCCCACCTCTGTCACAATACCACAGCTGCACCACATATCTTCACCCCTGCTCAGGTCTAGTTGCACAATTTTTAATCTTTTTAAACTTTGAACATTGTTTTAACAACAATTTAACACTATAGGAGCAGTCGGAGTAATCCCAATCTTCCGGTTACCTCCTGTATCCTGTCTGGTCAAACCCTAAGCAGCCCAGAATTCTTCCCAGGATGCAGAGTCCTGGCCAGGAGAGAGCGGGATGGCCTTTATTACATGGGCACTGTCATAAAACAAATACAGGTGACACATGACTGTTGAATATTGTTTCTACTGCAGCTAATATGGGCTAATTCAGTTATTTACTCCTGCAAAAGCACAACCGTTTTAAAAATGAAACTATACATTTACAGTATTTGCTGACTTTAAGTTTAAGGGTATTCAGCCACACCATTTTTAATGTATTAGCATCTGGATGAGTGCACAGGGGCACATCAGCTGCACTGAGCAGGGCTCTCATTGACTGACTGCTTTAATAAGCACTTTGCCCAAAAATTGTGCCCAGTGTTTTCCCAATTTTCCCATCTGTCCCAGCTGTCACAGGGTCAGTGGTGGGGTAGATCTAGGTAAGGTCGCCAATCTCTCACAAGGCTCTCCTTGTGCCATCCCATTTAAAAAGTGGTGGAAAAGCTCCTGGTCTTCAGTGGAAAAGCAGAATAAATATAGAGCATTTAATCTATTACGCATCTACGCAGCTTCAGTACAATCCAACAAAAACTGATCATAAAAATATAACCTGATGAGCCGAAGTTAAAAAAAAAAGTTTTAGTGTCAGAGTCACTGCTCTTATCCAAAAGTCAGACGCTAACGGACTAAAAATCAAATTTTAAAAAAGGGACGAGTAAATATTTGAAGACTGTCTTCCAATTTTAGGGCTGCAGTGGAATTTGGGTGGTTGACTTTGACCATGCAGAAAGTGCAACGTTTGAGATTGCCTCCTCCCAGCGCCAGCTCGTTTGTTCACTTGACATGGTCAATGACAGCAGAGGTTGCACATGCAGGTTGGCTCCTGGCGACGCTGTCCTGTCACCATGGGAACAAGATCTGAGAAGATACGGTCCAGGTCAAGTGGTGGCAGCCACAGAACATAGAAATGGTTATGGAGGTACGGCAGAAGTCGTATATTTTATATTATAACATCATCATATGACATTCAGTGGTGTGGATACAATCAAGGATATTTTTCTTTATAGTCAATAATTCTAATGAGACCGTTTTCAAACGGGAGACTTGTTTCCTAAGATATATATTCATATGATAAATCACCAATGTCTGTTCATGATCACCATCTGTAATCCACTCAAAGGGCTCACCCTTCCTTCCTGTAGGTAACGGTGTTAGACGCCTCCGGGTGCTGATGTGGAATAGTTGTGTGTGTGTGCTTCCTGAAAGTCTGCTTTTGCCCATTTCTGCTTCTCGCCATGCCAGAATAGTACGGGAGCTCCAAGCAGTCACTCACAATCAGTGCTGCAGCTGGCTTTGTGCCCCCCAGCTGTACTGCACCGACTGCTGCCATTCAGCATGTGCCTCTTGCTACTGTTCATCCTGTTTAGTTCCACCCAGTCTTGGTGCGAGCTTTGGAAAATCAGATGAACTTGATAAAACAGAGCAAGTCAAGCAGGTGGACCGCAGAGATGCAGATGTGAGGACGAGTGACCCCGAGTTGCCATCTTCCTCCTCCTCCTCCTCATCTCTTTCCCATGATGAGACCAGAGCATCAACTTCTCCTTCAGTGAAGATAAGAAGTAAACAACAGCGTCCTCCCTGGAGATACTGGAGAAGAACTGGACTAGAACCACAGCACAGGCAGCCAGGTGAGAATCAGACACACACTGAGTTAATAAGTTCTGAAGAAGTTCAAAAGAAAACTGGAAACAAAAAGAAACCTTGTGAAAAAATAGATCACAGGTAGATTCCACTGGAGATATCACATAAACAAATGGGTCCTACAGTGTTTAAGGTTAATGACACATTTACTGAGAACACTGGAGTGTTACTGTTAGAAGACAGGAGATATTGAAATTGAAGACATCATGACAAGACATCATGTTTAAAATCCCTTGTTTTGATATCATCTACTTAAGTGAATGAAATTAAACATTTCAAAAGACACTGTACCTGACCTTATGTTACCTGGTTGAATTTTTGTTAGTAAACTCATAAATCAGTGTATTTCCATCTGCTAGTCTGTTCTTATCCAATCTTAAAAACATCCGATCCTCTTCGCCTTTTTTGGGTGTTTTACTGGAGACCCCAGTAAGTGCTGTGTAGAGTGGTCCTGAAATCCTTTCGATGATGTTTTTCATATTTTGACTAAATGTTATTCTCTGTTACCTTTATAGCAGATGCTGCTTGCTACACAGTGTGGGCGCACATGAACACATGCATGTTATTTTTGATGTATTGTAAACAAATGCATTTCCAGTCCTTTTACCCTCACGTTTAATGGTCACAAATAAGTGCAAACTTGTCTCACAAAATGTCAATAAAGATGCAACATGCTGTTTTTAATGATAGCAGTATACAGTATGCGTTCTGATATGTGTGCAATATGCATGAGCTCAGATGGAATTTTTTTTTTGTGCAGGGAGTGCTGGTCCCCGGAGGACAACCCAACCTGTGAGTTTCAGCATCCCTGAACCACAAATTAGTGCCTCACCAAATCACAGCTCCCTGTTTCAGTCACTTCCTGGCACCAGAGGAAGAAGAGCAAACATTAGAGACATTTTGTCCACAACCAGCTTCAAACCTCGACCACCAGTGGGACTGCAGTCTCTCTGAGAACGATGCCAATATATTTACATATTGTCTCAGTCTAAACTCGTGTACAGTGCATGTTGAAGAGCCAAACAAAAAACTGATTACAAAAATATTTTATTTCAATACAATGATGTGGTCTTAGTGCAGGTAAGAATAGTGCATTACAGTAAAATAAAATGTAAACTCTTAATGCAAAAATCTATATACAAGAAGCAAGAAACAAAGAGCATGTGCAATGGTCAGTTGTTATTAAAGGGTGACAGGTTTGGTCAGCTGAGGGGTCAGAGGTCAAAGGTGAGGTTGACACTCTCCCCAGCTTTAACACTGACCAGCTGAGTCTGCTGCTGTGACTCTGCCACACTGGCAGTGATGGCATATGTTCCAGGTGAAAGCTCGATATAAAAATCCTCACTGGATCCAGACACGCGGTTCTGAAAGCAGCAAATAAAAAGATTTTAATGCAATGATTATTTTTTACATTTTAGATGAATTAAAGTCAAACTTTTGACAACATGTAAATAGTAAAACTCAGGCCCCCAAACTGAAATGCAAACTTCATCTATACAACTTCAAAGGAGTTTCCTGAATTCTGCTGGTACTGTCTATGCCACTGTAAAATGCTAACTTTCTGAAGCCTCCAACTCAATTTTTTGTTTCCCTTTTCCACTTTTTTGGCCAACAAATTACCTACTGTAAATTGCTTAAATATAAAGCCTTAAATGCTCTGAGTTTGTCAGCCTCTGAGCTTTTCCTATTCCAAATAATCAAAAACACAATGCAGAATTACTTGGTACTTGTCGCATTTCCTGGTTGGTAGCGCAGCTGATGTCTTTGCAGATGCTGGCTGTGTGTGAAACCTGGACATGTGGTTCTTTTCAATGTCACTGGGCTGCGTGCAACAACCAGACTTGTAAAATCTCTGCAACAAAGACAAAATCCATATTTTATTCTCCCAGGTCTGTAGCTGGAAGTCCACATAGAGGTGCTTTGGGACATAGTCACTAACTTTGCAATGACTAGTGGTTTGTGCCATGAACTCAGCGATTTTTGCAAAGGCATCATCAAGCTCTGTGGGATTTCTCTGGAAAAGCAAGAGATGAAAAGAGACAAGCTGATAAAAACAAAAAAACAAAAACAAACTTTGAACAAAGAATTAAAAGTATTTATATTTAGATTACATTATAAGGTTATATTATTATAAATATTAAAGGCGAAAGATAAAAGCACCTCGTCAGCTATATCTGTGTCTTCATCTGCCATAGTGGGGTTTTGGGATGCAGTGCTCGCCCAGTCCACACTCCGCCTGGAGGCTCGCTGCAGCACCTCCAAGCCCAGACTGGCAGAGCGCTGCAGGGAGGACTCCAGCCAGGCTTGGCTGTCCATGGGCAGGTGGAGGGAAAAACTCAGGTGCCCTTCACCCAAGGAACGGGCACAAAGAACGCTTTAAGATCGCTTTACAGGACACAAATATTGAAAAGAGAAGAATTTAATTGTAAATATACCAATATAATACAACAAAAGAATTTATCACTTACTGGGATTTTTTAAAACTAAGATGTCAAACTGCTCTGTGGATCCAGCATATCTAATAGGCATCTGATTTTTCTAATCTGATATTGAGAAAACCCTTTTTCAGCTGCTTCATAAGAAACACGTCAGAAAACAAGTTAACAGAGCTACATCAGTACAAAAATAAGACTGTGTTAACAAATTTTGGCCAGTTAACAAAGATCAATGTTTTTTTTCCCCTCCGACAAGGTTTGAACCAACTATAATCACCTTAAATGCAGTGTGGGAAACAAGAACATATGGGACGGATATCCTAGAAACAGCGCATGCGTGCAAATTAAATCAGCTGGGCTGTCACTTCTTTCTGAAGCTACTTACTTTGAACTGTTAAACACAGACCCGTTTCCCTCGATGGAAGCTCAGGAACACTGAGACGTGAAACACTTCGAAGTGCACGCCTCACATTCTAGAGCATGACGTTGTCACATGTAGAGCACATTCTGCTTATTCCAGGAACCGTCAACAAACCTCGTGTCAGGAGACTTCGTCTACCTGCTCTGCACGTTTAACATGTACGCAGGTTACTGAATGTAACGTTAGAGAAAACTGTGCTCCGTACACTTACACTCTGGCTTTGACGTTTCCCTCGTTTCAGTCGCATTCACGTCACGCTTTTAGCGGCTTTCAAATGACACGGCAGGAAATCCTACATATTAAAGCCCGCCCCTTAGTGGTGGAGGAAGTATTCAAATCATGAACCAGGGTGAAATTTATGCGTTTACCTTACCTTGTTATCTTTTCTGTGCGGTTTTGTGGAAAACAAATAATGAATAGTTTGATTGTGGATTAGTCTGCATTTCTGTTTCTATCAATCAGCTAGTTAATTCATATAACCTCAAATAAAAATAATAAAAAGGAAAAGCAAATAAAAGTGCAGGACTGTCCCTAACTATCCTTAATCTGCAGTGAAAGTCATAATTGAACTTCTTAAGTTCATGTTGCCATGTCTAGCACACTGCCAGTGTTTCCAAGGAAAGCTCTTAAACTGATGGACAACTTTCATGATAATTACTGAATTGTTTCAGCTTTGCTTGCACACAGATACAATTGAGAAAACTTTAATATTTACTGATATTAAAGTTTTATTTTTGACTGTTTTATTCTATACATGACTGGTTAGATGCACCATTTCGGGCCTCCAGTCTACAAAACAAGCTGTTAAGTTATATCTGGTAGTTTGTGTTGGGTATCACCACGTCCCAATAAACAAAATTATTTTAAAGGTAGCAGTTTAAAAGCAGCTGATTAAGCACTATATAAACAAGTTCATCAGAAATTTGAATATACATATATTTTGCCTCTAATTGGAATGACGTGACAAAAAACATCAGAATTAACTTTCTGACCATTTCTTTAATTGTTCAAGGTAGTGCTGACTTTCTGAAGCACATACAGCAACATTTGTATTTTTTTTGGTGAGTTTATATTATTATTACCAAAAACATAGCAATACCGTTTCATTGTAAGTCATTAGAAACGACTGACTTTTGCTATATTAAAAGAACAAAACAGGAAGTCTGTGCATTTTTGAAGATTGTTCAGTCTGTAACTTGGACACTTGTCAAAAAGATTTTACTAGGACAAGACCAACAGTGCTGAGGATCCAGGTGATTTCCTCACATGAAAAAGTTTCCTCTGCTCCTCACACCTTTCAATCAAAATTAACAGCATCTCTTCAGTTTCCATGCCAATCAAATTGCAACTTAGGAGTGGGGGGAAAAAATTAAACACACACACACACACCAGTTTCCATTTATACAGTTTATTTCTGCAAAAACACACAGACAAGATCGTTATGCCATCAGCACGCAGGCTCCTCCCGCTGCCTTGATCTTCTCCTCGGCCTGTCGGCTGAAGAACTTGGCCTTGACGATCACAGGCTGCTTGGGCAGCTTGCCTTTGCCCAGGACTTTGTAATAACCCTGCAAAGTAAAGCACAGGTGGAGATCATTATTTTATCTGACAATACACTGTAATATTATCTTATAAGACTAACAGCTAAAACTACGACATTTAAGCCAACCTAAGATGAACTGATAACCACCACAAACAAAACCACACTAGTTAAGTAAAAAAGTCTGTCGACCCAACAAAACAAACGTTAGACATTGGCTTGGCGAGGAAAAAGGATGCTGGTTCAACTCTAGCCAGAGACACAAATCCCCTTTGGGGTTGCATCAGGTAGAGCTATGCCCAGTATAACTTTCTGTAAGAAGGGAGTGTGCTAACGTGAGCACAATAAGCAAAATGCAGCCAAACAAACAAACAAAAGTCAAGTTTTAATAGACAAGAGTAACTTTTCTATTAAAATGAAAGTATGTTTACAAAAAGAAATAATTTTCAATGACTGAAAACAGGAAAATTATCTGGTACAAATTCAGAATTTATAGCTCTTTAAAAATGTAAATGTCTGAGTATAATGTTGTGTAAAATGGAGGGAAAAAAGTCCTGAAAGCAGAAAAATTAAGGAAAACCAAGAAGTCTTAAATCTGTTTTATTAGCACCACGTACACTTTTGCACCAAATTCATCAGAAACCCATCCAAAAGGTTTAACTTTCCACTATGAGTGTTTCAACTGTTTAAAGGACACCTGTTCTTTAAAAAAAGAAAACTGTTTCTGATGTCTGATTCCAGCTGCTCAACAACAATCCAATTTCCTAAGGTGATACTCAATGCCGACAAGTCGACATGCCACCACCTACTCCAAGCTACAGTAGAGGAACAAGAACTCCCGTAAAGATTTGAAAGGTCCAATTATTATGACAAGAGAACATTTTTAATAACAGCAAGATTTAGCAATACTTACAGCGCGCACAGCATCGATGATGGGGGCGGGTCCATCGGGCTTCTTGCTGTAGTTGATCCTGGTCTGCTCGCTCACCAGTGTCCACAGCTTGTCCCGGTTGATGGTAGGGCAGTGGGAGGTATTCCTCTTCAGGTGGTAATGTCTCATGCCCACCTTACCAAAGTATCCTGGATGGCTGAGGACAAACACGAGGAAAGAAAATGAAATCGAATGTTTCACACTAGAGCAACAAACACTAATATTTTAAATATTAATGTTTAATTGAAGTTCACTTTTGACATTCAAATTTAGTGGAATACTATAAACTACTGCCCCAATTCTAATGTGATGGGTGCACCAGCAAGGTGTATTAGAGTGTTTGTAACTGCCCATGTGGATGACTGGACTATAGGGGAGGCCAGTCGGTGAGTAGGACCAGTCTTTAATCTAAGAGGACTCAAGCACACCAAGACAATGAAGTCTGTCAAGATGAGACTCTAGTCTCTATAGAAACATTAGATAAATGCATTTCTCTTCCTACAGCCTTTTTTTACAAGCAGGTAAAAACTAATCAGCACATCTCTTAACTGGACAGCAGAACTAACCCAGCATAAATGTGTTCCATAGATGAGCACAGTCCCCAAATTGGGAGAAGGTTCAATAAATTCTTTGTGTCCATAATACACAGTATCAGTGCACTGCTCTCCAGATCTTTCAATAATATATTGCATGGCAGTTTTCACCAAGTAGACTTGGGTTGAGTAAATAAGCTCCGTAGTGGGGATGGTCTACCATGTTTCTGATTTACTGGATGAAATCTTTACTCTTTCTTTGAAAATGCGGCTGTTTAGGTATTAACCTACAGAAAGACTGACCAAGCTGCTGTGGTGGCATCTCAATCAGCTACCTCAATTCTCTTCTGCCTGTGTGAGGTACACTCCAATTCCACTGCCCTACAGTGACAGTAGTCCTTGTTCTGCTGTAGCTCACCAAGGCTGCGGAGCAAAACAGGGACTATTGTCAGCAGCCACAACTCAGCTGATATAACTCGAGTCTGACTACAGGTTGAGGGACTTGCTGAATTTGCCGCAGATTAATTTTGTTATATATTACAGCAAGCTCTATAGTACATAATAATATATTGTTAAAATAAACTATTACTGTAAAGCCTCATCTAGGAAACACTACAGCTATATAGAATAGGGTGATACATCGAATATACTTGATGTATCACGTGTTTTCCACGAACGATGGTTAAAATGGTTTTAACATAAACATCAAGTGGAAATTGCCGCAATATAAAGCTGTCTGCATGCAATTCACTGTCAGTTTTTTTCTCTCCTACACGCTGCAAATGCATCATTAATCCCCCCCTCCCAACCGGAAAATTTTTTACCTGTGCTGAGCATGCGTGTTTACTACCTGATAAGGAAAAATATGGCGACAGCCGGAGTTACAGAGGAGCGAGCGAATGAGACTGTTGTTTGGATTTCACAAGGAGGAGACAAAATACGGTAATTTGCAAGACATGCCATAAACCTACTGGCACAAAAAGTATCACGAATTTATTCCATCAGCTGAAAAGTCATCCACTGCAAAATGAAGCCTGTTTTAAATCCTGCATGTCAGCGTCTCCCACACAGCAAAGGAAACGTTAAACAAACCAGCTGTGATACCTGCGACGGTTGTAGGTTAGTTGCTTTTATAGCCACTATCTAAACGTTCATTCCTGTAATTTAAGGCCATCACATTTTTTGGTTCACAATTTTTATGTTATAAGAACAAAAGAGCATCTTTCTAATCTCAATTGTTTTAATTTGTCTCGTGAATTCTTGCCGATGTCCTTTTTTGTTGCTATGATCTTTTGTTTGTTAAACATCTAGTGTTGACCACAGAAAGACTTACTGTGACAGTATTGTCATTTGTCAAAAACCTCTGTGTGCAACAAATGGAACCCCCCCCCCCAAACATTTCAATTCATTCATATATTATTGTCAAAAATATAAAACAGTTAATTTGAAGGAGTATAGCAGTGCAATTTTAAGCTCTATATGGCTGAAAATAGTTTTTTTTTTGTGATACAGCCAAAAATGTGACATTAGATTTTCCTCATATTACTCAGCCCTACTGCTTTAGCCACAAAACCTGGCTTTATCACTAAAGGAATCCAACACAACAACCGAAATCATATCAGGCAACACTTAGGGACATCATAATCTAACTTAAATATCTGAGGTAAAAGCATACTTCTGTGTATTTTTAGACATATTACCTTACAAAGACTTTTATGGCCAAATACAGGGAAGCCAGGTTTACTTGAGTTCTACTTTACAGTAGTCACACTGTACTCAAATTTCACTAATATCATTATGAGTGACTTACTATTTGTCGAAATTGATTCTGTGATGATGCATGCCACCAGCATTACCACGACCTCCAGGATGCTTCCTGTGCTTGCCTGTGGAGAGAGTCGGTAAACGTTTACTCCATCTCCATATCGTCCGGGGATGAAAAACAATCAATTAAAACTTGGGTCAAAAAGAGTATACTCACCAACGCGACCATGTCCGTGGCTGACATGTCCTCGGAGTTTCCTGGTCTTCGACTTCTTGGTAGGCTGTGAGCAAATATTTTGCAGTTATTGTTAAAAAAAGGATGAGGTTTATTTGAAACATTAGCTCCCGTCTAGCAAAGCAACAGACTTAACAGTCCGGCAGGTCGACTGTGATGTTAGTCTGCTAAGAATCTGTAATAAAATGAGTATACATAGCATGTTTTCCCCACAGAAACGCTAAAGTAAACCGCTGAGTTTGTCCCGAGTACTTGCATGCTGCTTAGCAGGTAGGAGGCTAATGCTAGCTCAACCATCTTTATCGGAAGGTTTAACGCTTTATGCCAATGGTTGTTTCAGGGTTACACCACCACCACCACCTTGCACATTTAACTCTCACTACCGTTGTCAAAAAAATTACAAATGTTTGTTTTCTGCGCGTGGGTAAAACTAGGTTCCCTGCTAGAGCCGAGGCCCAGGAGAAGCGACATATCACACAGTGAACCCATCAAAGTCCTCACAAAAATGAGTAAATAATGGTAATAACACCCAACATTTATTCCTACAACATGAGTGTATTATAAGACACCATCTAAAGTGGATTATTTTATACAGGTTAGTAAGGATGGAAGTAGATTTAACCCAGTTTGGATGCACAGGGATAAAACGTAGAACCTACCATCTTGGAGGCTAGTTGAAAGAGGAACGGGATTCGGAACGAACGCGATTTTGTGCGAGATTTGCCCCCAACAATACAAAGTGCAATAATTCCATAGCGACATCTGGTGATTGAGGATCGAAACGACACAAGAGTCAACTGAAAATTCGCTTTCTTTTTTTAGTCCAAGAAGACATATGTGAATTTAACAAAAAAAGTGATACGATTAAAGTCTGACATTGATAGAATTAAACGGGTTCTACTTGTATTTTAGCAATTAAATTCTCATGTTACATCAAACAAATATATATTTGAAAACCCAAGCTAATGATAGTAACTAATCACTATGCAAAAATAATACATGAATATCCTTCTGAGATCCAGAAGAAAAAACTATTTAGATATTTTCTTTAGATAATTTAAGTACAGTGACTGATAAACAAAAGTTGACTAATGTTTTGTTTGTTTACAGAATGATGTGATGTAATATAACTACATTGTTTCTGTTTCTGGTACAATGCCTTTTTATTTCATGAAAATTACAATTAGATGAATGGAAATCTAACATTTACAGAAATCATCCATTTCTACAATTTTGTGCAGCCATGGATGCCGCCACGTGCCACGGACCTCACGCCGCCATCACGCCGCCACCTGTCACGACCTCTGCATGAACCTGAACCCAAGTCAGTTCAATTCAATTCAGTTCAATTCAATTCAGTGTTATTCATATAGCACCAAATCACAACAAAAGTCACCTCAAGGCACTTCATAGGTACAGAGAAAAACCCAACAATCATATGACCCCTATGAGCAAGCACTTCACTGGGTCCCTGTCTGTTCATCACACTCGGGAAATCTAAGCCTGCTGGCTTCATGGACAGATAAAGTTGGGAGTAAACTGCGTAGAAGTGAAAATGGCTGCTATGCCTTCTAATGATTCTGCAGGCAGCATGTATAATGTAAACAGAATTAAGGAATCCTGTGGAACTCCATGACAACTGTGTGAAGAGGACTCTCCATTTACATGAACAAATTGGTGTCTATTAGTTAGATATGATTCAAACCACTGCAGCACAGTACCTGTAATGCCTACAGTATGCTCTGATTGCTCTAATAGAATATTTTGGTCAACAGTATCGAACGCTGCACTGAGGTCTAGCCGGATAACCACAGAGATGAGTCTACTGTCAGATGCCATAAAAAGATTATTTGTAACCTTCACTAAAGCTGTTTCTGTGCTGTGATGAGCTCTGAAACCTGACTGAAACTCTTCAAATAAGCCATTCATCTGCATTTGATCTGTTAGCTGTTTGACAACTACTCTTTCTTTTTTTTCTTTTTTTTTTCTTTTTTGCCTGTCCCGTTTGGCTCTTTTGCCATCAGAATTGTTGTCTAAAGGCAAAGAAAGATGCCCAACGGATTTACTTTACCAAATTGACCATCCCAGCCTTGCCTAATGGTCCATTTGATTCACCTTTTATTGTTTATTTTATTTTCACTTACTGAATACGGGACAGACTTGACTGGGGGAAAGAAGGGGAGAAAGAAAGAGGGAAAGAGAAACAGCTGAGAAGAGGGACGGGGGAGAAGGGCAAAAGAACAAAAACCAACAGAATGAGCAGAAAAAAAAAGAAAAAAAAAATGCATATATCATCACCTGGGTCACCTGCTGAGAAAGAAAAAAGAAAACAAGCAGAAGAGAACAAGAGTAATAGAATAAACAACATCACAATGATATATGGGAATATGACAGTAAATACTAAATATTAAACATTATTGTGCAGCACATAAGATCAACAGAACACAGTGTGCTTTGAGGTAGGAGCCAAAAAGGGTGTAGTTTGTGGGTGTGATCACCCGTGTGTACACCTGTGAGCATGGACGCGCTTGTTTTTTTAAAAGGTTCCTTCATGTAATGATCTGCTAGAGGGTGTGGGGGGGCCACAGCCCCGTCCTCCAGGGCATGAAGCAGGTATGGAGGAGATCAAAACTCCAGACATCCAGAGGCCCCCAGAACACAAGAGACCAAGGAAGACCAACAGAGGGGCAGCCGCGCCACTGTCCCAGAAAGAGCTGAGGAGAGTCCCAGATGAGGGCTCACTCAGCAGCCGCGGAGCAGAAGCCAGGGGGAGTTGCAGTGACGCGCCCGTGAGCTCCGCCGGCAGCCAGCCGTGCCTGAGTGACCGAGCCCCAGGCCGAGAGGCCGGGGGCACCCCACCTCCGAAGTGGCCCGAGCGAGCCCCAGGCTCCAGGCCCCGATAAGCGGCCGCCAAGGAGTGAGCCGGTGTGTACCTGGACGCCCATCCCCGGACACAAAGAACCACCAACGCACCGATGTCTGAGGGGTCCGCCACTGGCAGGGGAAGTGGTGGTGGGGGGAGATAGGCCTCCAAACCTTGGAGGGCCTGAGATGTCCCCAGAGAGGTGGCGCTGAACCCAACCTGACATATAGACACAGACATACAGGCACACACAGATACAAACATCCATTCCCACCCTCATGCTCTCATATGCACATCCATATGACAACTACTCTTTCAAGGATTTTTGATATGAAAGGAAGGTTGGAGATTGGCCTATAATTAGCTAAGACTGCTGGGTCTAGAGATGGCTTTTTGAGTAAAGGTTTAACTACAGCCAGCTTGAAGGCCTGTGGTACATAGCCGATCATTAGAGATAGGTTGATCATATTTAAGACTGAAGAATTAATTAATGGCAGGACTTCTTTGAGCAGTTTTGTAGGAATGAGGTCTAAAAGACACGTTGATGGTTTGGAGGAAGTAATTATTGAAGTTAACTCAGAAAGATCAATTGGAGAAAAAGACTCTAAATAAATGTATAAATGCGTGATACCACCTACTTACACTGTAGAGGAACAAGAACTCCCGTAAAGATTTGAAAGGTCCAATTATTATGACAAGAGAACATTTTTAATAATAGCAAGATTTAGCAATACTTACAGCGCGCACAGCATCGATGATGGGGGCGGGTCCATCGGGCTTCTTGCTGTAGTTGATCCTGGTCTGCTCGCTCACCAGTGTCCACAGCTTGTCCAGGTTGATGGTAGGGCAGTGGGAGGTATTCCTCTTCAGGTGGTAATGTCTCATGCCCACCTTACCAAAGTATCCTGGATGGCTGAGGACAAACACGAGGAAAGAAAATGAAATCGAATGTTTCACACTAGAGCAACAAACACTAATATTTTAAATATTAATGTTTAATTGAAGTTCACTTTTGACATTCAAATTTAGTGGAATACTATAAACTACTGCCCCAATTCTAATGTGATGGGTGCACCAGCAAGGTGTATTAGAGTGTTTGTAACTGCCCATGTGGATGACTGGACTATAGGGGAGGCCAGTCAGTGAGTAGGACCAGTCTTTAATCTAAGAGGACTTTTTCATAAGGAAACTTATGAGTTTTCTGATTTTATTGTATATTGCTTGTGATTTAGATTTGTTAGGTGTAGTTCCTTTTACATCTCCCCGCTCTGTGTTTCTCCGTTCCCTAACTCTCACTCTCTGCTCCTCGCTCTCGCCCTTTCTCTCCATCTTCAGTGTTTTTGCACTTGTCTTCGTAGCCTTGTCTCTGTTCCCTCCCTGTGTTCAGTGTATCTAGTCTGTTTCGTCTCAGTATTCGTTTCTCCTGGCCTTTTGTGTTTGGTCCATCTGTTTCCTGTTTTATTTTGGTAGTCTTTGCCCTGTGTGCACTGTGTTCTGTTTTGCTTTCGATGTCCTGTTAGTTTGTAATTAGTTCTAGCTGTGCATGTGTTTTAGTCCTCAGTCTCCCTCTGCTCATTGTGGCTTCGTGTGGGTCCTTGTGTTCTGTGTTTCCCTTGTAACTTCCTGGCTGCTAATTGCTAGTTGTCTGTTTCTAGCTTATAGCTCCCAGGTTCTAGTTTCACAGTTTTTAATTTTTGGGTGGAGTTTCGTCTTTCAGGAAATAAAGCTGCCTCTTTTAGTTGATCTCTTTGTTTCTGAGCCCTGTGTTTGGCTCCTACCTCTGCCTGCTATACAGCCGAACCTTGACAGAAATAATTCTGGGTTTTCAGGTCATGTCGCTCACTAAAATGACCATACATGGTTGACAGAGGGCTGAGTGAGATAGTTGCTGAGATGGGGATCAGACATTAGGAAGGAGAATGCTCGGGACGTACCAGTTTTTGAGGAACCTGAGCAGGGCTAAAATAATGAGATCCAACGTCAATTATGGATAAAAAGTGCTTAAGAGGGGTCTCACCTTCAAGAGGGCTTTATTCTTTTCCTCTTATAAGAGATAACTTTGATGGACTGCCTAATCTTGAAGAATCTGTCTCGATTTCTTGAAGTGACTATAACTAGGAACTAGCAAATTTGGATGCTAGGTTATCTGACTCATGCCATAAACATCTCGACAGTTCATTAGGAGCCGCATAGATTCCACACATGGGGCTTGATGTAGTGGTCTCAGACATATGTCCTCCACAGAGGACAAAAGTGAAATGCCAGGTCTTACAAGACTATGATATTATAATAACTATTTCAACATATAATCATCATATATAACAGTACCCTGACACATTATGCAGAGAATATAAACCCTGAGTAAAAACACACACAGGCTTGGATCACGTGCACACAGTTAAAGATGACGTGTAGTCATACATGTCCACGTAGCTCTATTGGGTTTCTGTGGCGACGCAACCGCAAACAGACACAGTTAAAGGTGATTTACATAAAGTCAGTCTGTTATTCAAAGTTTGAGTGAAATGTCCAGCGTGTAACTTGTCATTGGCCAGAATAACAGGTTGCAAAATCAGCCTGTGAAGGAAGGTAAGACACACCTCTGCCATGCCACCAGCTTTTTGCAGCCCTAGAGATCAGCACCACTGAACAAGTAAGGACATTTTTGTTATTAATCCCTAATCTATCTTGTGTATATATATTTAATGTGTTTGTAGTTATACTTTTTGTCTCTATTTCAGAAACAAGGAAATAAAGGTTAATATAAGAGATAAATAATTCTGTAGAAGCGTGTCCCAAAGTTTTGTTCTGCTTTGAAGTATTTCAATTTGATGCCACTTTACTCACACGAAACCATGATAAAGATTTCATTTGGCTTAAAAGGGGAAAAATGTATCATGTCAAAGAGTCCATCTCAAATATATTTTTCTGGCCTTTGTAAAGAGCCTGGCCATCAGATTGAGGAAAATCTTTACTAAATTAAAAAAGTATATAGAAAATGTTTTATTAAAATTATCTTAACTTCCACCAACAGGAACAGTAAAATAAGACAGTGAATCAGTAATTTGCAGTCTGATATATGAATTGATAAAAGACACAAACTCCAATGTTGGTGTTTCAAAATTTAAAAGGTATTTTTTATAATCCCACCCAACGTTTTTAGACTTTGGTTTGTACGTTAAAGAGGAATTCCATCATTTTTAAAAAACAAAGCTGTTTTGTAAACAAAATCTTTTTATGTCATTAATAAAGTTTGAAAATAAAGCATAGGGGTTGTTTTGTGGCCAACCACTAATAGAGCTACAGATTTATTAGCAACCACACACACTGTCACATTGTTTTTGGCTTTACAATATACAAATATTTACATGCAGAGCTTTTATTTTTACACCCTCAATATATCTTTTACCTACTGCACAAAAAGGCATCACATGATTACTGGGAAACGCATTAAATATTAAACACCTGTTTGCTGTTTCTATTTGTGAGCTGTGCTGAAATATCAGGGGGCTGAGGCTGAATCTTCACTCCACCAATCAAATCATTTGAGTTCCCCTTGACACTGGACACATGGAACATTTCTATTCCTCTCCTGCTCAGCTCACATCCACCTGAGGACACATTCACCTGACTTTCTGAAGCAGACATCTTGTTTTTTCATCACTTGCCTTCAAACTGAGGTAATGTTTGATCATAATTCACCTAATACCTGATTCCTTCTGTATGTTAATGTGATGTAACTTTTTGTTATGCTCATAACGTCTCTTTTTGTGTTGTAAAAGTTACTCTTTGTGCAAATGAGCATTTATATTAGTGTTACATTGCTGATTCTTAATCTACCTCTTTTATGGTTTTGTACTTTTTTCCCCCGGTCAAACACTGAGCACACAGAAGATTTTAAACCATCGGCTTCTTCTCTGTTTTCTCTTCTGTTTTTTCACCCCAAGAGGCCCAGTCTCCTGGAGATGGCAGACTTGCCTCGCAGACGCTATGGCAACTTCCCACAAAGGCGAGCCACCATGTTACCATGGGTAGCCAAGTGTAGGGTAAGGCTGGCACTGGAGGCCATGCCATCTGAGACTGGTCCAAATCTGGCAACCACAGCAGAGGAACCAACCCCCCGGGCAGAACATGTGAATATAGATGTAAACAATGTTTTAAAGAAGGAGGGATTCATCACTACAACTAGTAGTAAATGAGAGATGAGTAAATAGGATTTTAGAAAGATGAAAATAATGCAAAGTCTCTTTTTTTGAATTTTTAAACAAAATAGGTCAGCATGACTGGATTCTGTGAGGTGGAAAAGGAGTCAAACCAGTCTTATGAGAGAAAAACAAAAGCAACATCTCTGTCATCTGAAAAATGGGAAAGGCCTCCAGACAAAAGTGTGAAAGCTTTATTGAGAAGATTAAGGTAAAAAAGGGGAGTATGCTGCGGTAAAGCCATGTTGATTTTAAAGGATGACAACAGAGCAATGGATGAACCTAAAGTCCTCTTTATCCAAACCAATCTATGCTTTGGTACGTTACAGACTGGGCAGCCAGTTTATAGACACTTTTATTGCCAGATCAGATGGTGACAGATATCCATGGTTCACAGTGTAGTAGAATACATTCATTTGGACTTGAGTGCTATTTATAGTTTCTGTAGCTGCATGATCATAAAGCCCAGCAAAAGTCAGGGTGATATAGGTTTGGGGTCGTTGTCATGCCTGTTCCTAAATTGTTTCTGTTGTGTATTGCCCTTTTTTGGGGAGGCACTGGGGAATGTTGTTGCCTCAAAGTGGTTTTCTTGATCTGCAACAATGTTTAGGCAGGATTGTTTTTGTTTGTTCTTTCCATGGGTTTAAAATGGAAAATGTTCTTATGAATTTTACACTCTTAATGCTAACCTTTGATAATCACTTTTAAAAGCTTGCCCTATCAATGAACTTCTCCAAAGTCTTGGAAAATGCTGAACTATTTCTTTATCAGTGTTGTTTTTTCCATTTTTGGGTGAATCCGGTTAAGAAATTTAGCCTCACTGAGACTTTATGCTGAAAATAATCTTGGTAATGGAATTGAAGACACTGCCATAAGACACCTTCAATTTCACAGGATTCACCCAGAGGCCCAGAGGATTCTGGGTAATACCTGCATACCTGTAGTGAGCCTGGAGCGTCTGAACTTCCAGTCTGTGTCTTTATCATCACTGCAGCCTGTGGTGTCTTTGCAACGTCTGCCTTGCCAAAAACAAGCTGAGCTCTGTGACAATGTGTCATTAAATATTTCTGAACAGGTACAGAGCTGAAGGTCTAAACACTTTCATGTACAACAAAGATAAGTTCCTTTTTTTTAACCTCTGTGTCTTGATCTCTGGTAACAGAATGGATTCAGTCAAACTGAGGAAGATATACTGGAGCTAACTGAAGGATCATTCCAGCCTAAACCAGTAGAGCCATGTGATCTCAGTCCAACATCCTGGACTGAACCATATTGTCCTGACAGCTCCCTTTCTGGAGAGCCAGAGCAGGACTCAGGCTTTGACTGTGACTCTAATCCAGATCAGCCTTACATCCTGTTTGATTGTGGATCTGATGATGGGAAAGCTGAATCTGAAGCATTTTATCTGGATCCAGATCCAGAGCAGACTCTGGTTATTGAACTGGATCCAGGAGAAGAAGAAGCAGATCAGGACCAATGCCTGCTCCCGGAGGATGAAGTTGAAAGTACATGTGTGGTTGATATAATCGAAGTGGACGATGGTGAAGATCAAAGAAGTGAAATTAGATGCTTGGGAGAACAGGCCGACTCATCCACCCAGCAGCCTGGAGCTGAGGCTGGGACTGAGGAGAGTGAAGATTTCTGCGCTGTTTGTCTGAACGGAGGAGAGCTGCTCTGCTGTGACCGCTGCCCCAAAGTTTATCACATAGGCTGTCATATACCTCCTCTCAGCAGCTTCCCGCTGTAAGTGCTGTGTGAACATACAAATCTGGATATATGACATATGGGTTTAATGTGTTTTTTCATGGACTGTGGTCCTGTGTATTCCACAGAGGTGACTGGGTGTGTACTCTGTGTAGAAGTGAGCAGGAGCCCGTGGAGGCCTACGACTGTGAGATCATGCACTCCTGCGAGGGAGTCAAGGCACCTTATACACTATCCAACCTGGACCAGAGGGTAAGGCTGGTTTAATTCCTAAATTAAAGCTATAATGCTTATTTTCATTCTGTTGCTGTGAAGATGGCCTTAAATGTTGATCCTTTCTTACAGGAGATTGTTTGGTTCAGACAAATCTGGAAACAATTCACTTAGTTTTGGTGAGAGAGCTGTCTGGGGAAGAGTGTGAAGACCCCAGGTCACACACACTTACTGTGAAATTAAAGGACTATTAACTATTAAAGGGCTACTCTCCAACTGAAATTGATCCACCGGTGTGGCAAGAATCCACACAATTTTAAGTTGTGTAGACTCATTTATGACTCTCTCTCTCTATATATACATTTGTTAAGGTTTAAGCTTTGATTTTATTGCAGTTTTTGAGTCCAGTTTGGGTCAACAATGATTAACAGACTTACAACAGTAATATTTATTGGTGCAGAAGCTTTCTATTAGACAATTAATGGCCAGAGTGATGGTGAAAACAGCTTGGTTTATTGCCCCCTCTGCCCAGACTGCTCCCTCACCAAAATTAAGTGGATTGCATCCAGATTTTTCTGAAGCAAACAATCTCCTGTGCAAAGTGCTTTGAGTGCTTTAATAAAGTAGAAAATTTGCTGTATAAGAACCATTTACCATTTATTGAAAACCATAATTAATAACACTTTATAATATCTGTAATAATTAAAGAAAACAGTATAGTATTAATAAAGTATTCCTGTGTGAAATATATTTGGGCCATAAATGACTAAAATACCGTGTCACGTGAGGGTTATCAATGTTTATTACACAAACCAGATCAGACTGCGTTTTCACACTCGCCTCTATCCTGTGTAATAAATCCGTGTTGTGCTCCACTGTAAAGAAGCTTGAACTGATTTTGCTCTTTTGTCTGCAGAGATGTGAGAAGTTGACTCTGCTGCTATACTGTCAAATCCTCAGCGCTCCTTTCCATGAACCTGTCAGCCCTCTGGTCAGTCCAACAACAACAAATCACCTCAGCAGTAATGTAACATACATGAGCACCAAACGGTTTAAATATATAGTGCATATTTATTTATACAGCAATAACTACAAGACATCGCTGTTAGCGAAATTGTTACACCCTAACTGAGGGTGTAAAATGTTCCACCTCTGTGATCTTACATCAAATCTATGCTCTCGTGTGCCAGGCTCGAAACTACTACCAGATCATCAAAAGGCCCATTGACCTGTCAGTGATCCGCAGGAAACTGGACAAGAGCAACACTCTCCACTACTTCACTGCTGAGCAGTTTATTGATGACGTCTTGTTGATGTTCAAGAACTGCGCTACTTTCAATTACGTAAGGAATATGAGCAGATTTCCCACTTTGACCTAATTTCTGGTATAATTGAGTTATTCCTGCACTGCAGTCTGTGGAGATAAGTTCCACGTGTATCAGCAAGCTGGGCCTCTTTCTTCACATGGGGCCTGCCAGTCAAGGTTGTGTTCATCTGCAAATCAAGTATCAATCAAATCTCTGGATTTACTACTTATATCTACCAGGAATGAAGATGTTTACAGCCAAGGCAGTTATAATAATGTATAATGGAGGAAATCTGTAGTCTTTGATTTTCTTTCTCCTCAGTGCTGAGTACATGGTTATGGCATAGTAGACAATATGCCATGGGAACGTGGATATTTGTGTGAACTGTATGGTAATCAAGTAAGTGCTGAGGTATTTTAAAATAAGTTTAACCAAAATAGAAATCTGATTTTGAATCTGGAAGGATCACCTTGCACCTGCTTGGTCTGAAATATTTATGACTTTATTCTGGTAAGCTAATTCATCATAGGTCACTGTGGGTTGTTTTTTCTCTCCTTGTGCTGTGCAGCCAGACTCAGAGGTGGCTCAGGCTGGTCGAAACCTGGAGATGTTTTTCTTGAGCAAACTGAAGGAGATTATTCCAGACCGGACATTCCCATCAGCCAACCAGGGCACAACAGACAGAGCTCGCCTTCAGTGGCTCCACAGGAAGAACAAGGAAAACTCCAGAAAGAAGAGAAATGTTTTTAGCGGGAAAAAATATTGCCTATAACTTGCAATTTATTCATTTCCTTGCACTTCTCAAACATGTTGAAATTTAAGTCTTTAAAAACCGTGACAATAACATTAATAACTTGTGTTTTTTATATTAAAAATACATGTCGTGGAACTGAAAACTTGTCACATTTTTCAGGGATGTTCATGGAATGAAACAGAGACAGATGCTATTTACAGTTTTTAAATGAAATCAGTCAAATCAGATCAGTTGCATGATTTATCATTTTCATATTAAAGTGCTCATATTAAATAATAATATCAGCTTATGTAAAAGTTATCCTGATCGCTTCCTTAAATACTCAGTTTCAGGCTGTTTGTTTTACTATTGGCTCGGTATAATGTTGATAAAAGGGAATATCCTTAATATAATCTCAGGTACACATCTCTGACATCTCTGATTGGCTGACCTCTGTTTATGAGTGGTAGCCAACCAGAAGAACATTAGCTTGATAGAAGAACCAAGCTAAATGGCTTATTTGAGGAGCTGCTCATAGGCCCAGCATTACTCGTAAAGACTAAAAATAATAATTGAGTTGTAAATGAGCACAATAGGTCTACTTTAACTCTGTTATTGTAAAATCACTGCTCAACACTGATTTTAGGTGATGCAAGTATACTTTATACAGTAGACAGAAGGCTTTCCACCTTTTCATAAAAACTACTTCATAATGGTGCATTGGCACATGTGGCATACATCCCAGCAATGTGGGTTTGATGACAAATAAATATCATTAAAATGGTTTTGGTTGATTGTTGGTTATTGTGCTTCTGCAGTTATTACAAACTTTCCCCAGCAGGGGGAGCCCGTGTAAGACTTAACACTGGAAGGACATCTGTTTTGAATGTACCCTCAGTGCAAATTATGCTATTGACAGTGAGTCCATTATAGCACAAGAGGCTTTTGTGTCCCACTCCCCATTTATACCATCTTATCTATCAACTTTCATCTTTATCTAGCCACTTTCTTTCTTAATACCTACAGTTGCTCTGCCTTCGTCTTATTGTGTGGTTAGACTTCACATAAAAATAAATCCTCATCCATGACAGCATTCAGTTTCATAATTTATGACAACTAAAAGAAAAAAAAAGATGTAAAGCCCGAAAAGGCAGCAAGTGATGTATTTAATCAATAAAATTCTGCCCCAAAACTAAAAACAGTTAATATAAAATGGAGAAAAAGTAAAACTAATGTCTGGATTTTTACCAGTGTGTTCAACCAGAGAATTGCAACTTTGGAAATATTTATCTAAATTATAATCTAAAGCTTGATTATATTACCAGCTGACAGTAAAAGTAACAAATAAAGAATAAAAATAAAGAAATCAAGAAATGAGATTGGAGCTGCAATGAAGAAAAAGCCCAAACAAAAACAACAGAGTTTCAATAATTAAGTTACTTTATTATGTTTCTTAAAAAATTACAATAACAGCACAAAAATGGTTAACAGCAGCTAGCCAGGCAAGCGAGTGTCCAGGGCTGCTAATAGCCTTAAACTAGCAGCAGAGATAAGCCAGTCTGTGTGTGTGTGTGAAGGAGGAGGGGGGTGTTGTATCTGGGGTCCACTCTCCTACAGTCTGATTTGCCACCTTAATTGCTGCAACCGTACTCACCACCATCAAGCAGAGGGCAGCATAACACAGGGTCACCACGGGGTGAACCTCCACTGGTCCACAAACACCAGTAACCAAAACAAAAAAGGGAGTTACTAAACATACTTTGGATAGTGAGTGTACAATAAATCAACTTCCCCACAAAAATACAACCCGAAAGTCAAGGGGGGATTGAGCAATGGGCTTCAGGTGTCTTTATTCAAGCGCCAATTGAGAAATTAGAGGAGGAGCCAGGGTTTATCTAAGCGGGGCACGTTTCAGTCTACAATTTCCCCTCAACACTAGCAAAATGAACACTGATTAGGTGATATCAAAACTTATTTTAATACTATAACTTATTTTTCGCAGTAATCATTTTGATTTAACCTACTTGACACTAACTGGTAAAAAATCATGCTGTCTGGACAGTCTGCACACAACAAGCTGCCAAGTGTTTCAGAAATATGAGACAGCGGCTCGAGCTCCTTAAATGACATCATGCAGAGCCAAGCCAGTAAAACCCAGTGAAGGCTGGAGGAAAGTGCTTCAAAAACAACCACGCTATCTGCTGTACTATCTGCCAGCAAGAGTTACCTCAATACTTTTGCAGCATAAGTTATGCATAGTATGTGCATTTTACTTTGAAACAGTTGTGGTTGTTTCAGAGTACAAAACAATACTTCAGTTTATTACAAAACCTATTGCATTGCATTATTGCAGTGCTTCAACCTGTTTATCTGGTTATTATCCACAAGCATAATTACAAATATACTGTAATTTTTTTCCACAACCTGGAAATCTAACAATTATTCTTGCTAATTAACTGATAGATAATAAATATTAATTAGCAAATTGTTTAATAAACATCAATTATCCATTGCTGTACTTCTATGTGTGAAGGGAGACTTACCATAAAAACGGAATAAAAAAGTAACAATAACATGAGACATGTAGTTAAAATGAAGAACAAGTTGTTGTAACATATGCAACAAAGAGAAATTCAGTATTTGTATAACTGTATAATTGTTAAAACCAAAATTGTAACATTGACATGTTGAATTATTTTGCAACAGATGTTTGCTTGACAATAAACAATCAGATGTCAGATATGCTAAGACTAAGATTACTAGCCCTATCAGCAACTAGTCCTGGGTCAGATTAGCGACCTGTCCAGGGTGTACCCTGCCCCCCCTCTCCCTATGGTAGATGGGATCGGTTCCAGCCTGCCGGCAACCCAGATAAGGATAAGCAGAAGAGAATAGATGGATGGATAAATGGATGGATGGACAAGCAGCATAAATAAAAGAAGCTACAATGAGACTAATTTCAAAATTCATTCATGCCAATACTTCCCCCTAGTCATCCTGAATTATGATGTCACGGCAATTTATTCTCAGTTCCTTGCTAATTCTTTCCCAAACCCTTACTCCCTTGACAGAATACACTGTTTTACAGCAGTCTTCACTAATTCTTTTTGACCATATATATTTTTTCTTAAACGATACAGACAGTCTTTGGATACTTCCTGGTGATTTTTACATTAAAATCATGCTGTGGATCCGTCTGCCAAACCTGACAGCCTGTGTTTCTCCTGGACTCTGCTGCCCTGCTTGGTGGCTGGCTCGCTCTGTGTTGTTGTCATTTTCTGATTGTGGTTTTCAATTTTTCAGCTCTTAAACATGTAATGTTTTTTTTAATGTTTCAGGACATTTTGTTCTTGCTGTTCTTCCTTCCTGCAGCTCATTGTAATTTGCCAAACATAAGAGAGCATCAAGCTCATGCTTTTATAGTCTATTGTCAAAATGCTCTTATGTATAATCAGTGATGAAAGCAGCTCTGTGAATGCTGCATGAGTGCCTGCACTCTATAAACCCAATGAAAGGCTTTCAAATGGACAAAATCTGTTGCAACCACTGATAAAACCCACTGTGGTCCCATTATAAACAATATCTTTGATCTGTGTGCACATCTAAAATTTGTAAGCCACTGAAAGAAAGCATACAGAAAGGGATGAGAGCGAGCTTTTCAGGGTCGCCATCGCTGTGGCTAATTTAAGGTAAAATAGCATAAACTGACCTTGGGATGTCCTTAACAGGAGGTTTAATGACTTTGGAAATCTACTTTGTTCAGTTCATTAAACCTTAGTCACGTGTCTCCTTCTTGTTTTCTTTCTTTCGTCAGTTCTTCTTTCTCCTTCTTTTTTCCTGTGTCCAGATGTTTCATTTAATAACATCAAAGCCCCCCTCACTCTGTCTGTCTGAAGCTGGGTGAATCACCAACGTATAAAAAGGAGGAAAATGCTGACATACCTCCAGCTGCAATGGAGAATATCGTCTCTGAGATAAGACCTAAATCTAATGTTTAGATCAAACTCAACAGCAGCCATTAGCCCTGATTGTACCTCTGATAGTTTTGATTCATCATAAGAGCATTGTCACTTTAGAACAGTTAAAGATGTATTGTTCCTCCAAAAAGCTGCTGCATGATTTGCTCTTGCTTTTTGTGTTATTTAGGGTGGTTTAGACTCCCTTCCTCACTCACATTCCTGGTAAGCTACTGCATGAAAATACTGAATTATTGTGTCTGGGAGTGGAGTAAGTGCATGCTGTTGACTTTGGATGCTACTGAGAGCATAGCTGATTTGGTTTATTACACCCTCTTGGAAAGGATGTACCACCTTTTATGAAGATAATGCTGTAGTGGTCATCAAGCTGGCTGTGTAAAGCCAAAATTTACCTAATTTTTTATGTTGTCCAGGACAAAGGAGATCCTGCTGCTCATCATCTCTGACATTTTTTGGGGCTCAGCATAGATATTTTAATGCTATAAATTAAAAAAAAAAAAAAGCTCACAGACCAGTAACACACCATTAATCACCATTGCCCATCTCACTTCATAATTCAATCCTCATAATGGAAACATTATGAGGATTTTTTCTTATGACTAAATTTGGGAACTAAAATTTGGGGGTAAAAGAAAAGGAAAAAGAAGCAGGCCAGTACAGAAACATCATATGAAGTCAGTGGATTGGTTAACCGCTGCCTGTGCACTTCATCTATCCAGTCTGAGCCTGACGTTCAGTGCAGTAACATATTCAAGATGTTTATGAGAGTTTGTCTGACTGGATAACTAAAACTAGACCAACAGACATTTGGCATGTCTGGATTTATGGGTATTGGTTTAAACACCAAAGTCACTCTGGTTTCTTGAAACAATCACTAAGTGAAACCTCTGTTAGAAAGATTGATAGTTGCCATCTCAGCCCATTGATGGTGTTCCTGTTGAAATGAGAACCACGTTTTCCACAAGCAAAGTCAAAGGATTTTGCTGTTTCTCCCCTGAAAGGGATGAATCAGCAGTAATTTTATTTAGTTTTTTCCCCAGTGCCATCAGTTCTTCCACCATCTGCAGCTGCGTGAAGCTTTTGCACATTTTGATGAAATGGTTTAGTAGATCTGGACAATCATGTATTCATCTGATTTAAAGTTAAAGTATGTGTTGATTGTTAAATGTTGCTTATTTATAATGTGTGGTAGGACTGGCTGGAGGTCAGTATACTGTTTCACAATTGTCCAGTAATGTCTCTGCCTCTTAGCTAATTTTTCCTTTATTATGCTTCAATATTTCACACATATTTGGTTAATCTAATACTAAACGAATTAAATAAATTAAACAGACTAGCTAAACATTTTAGTTTAATATTTTAATTCTGGACATATTACTAAGTTACTGAGTAAAGCTAAGCAAGCTAACAACAAAATTTTGAGCCTTGGATATAGAATTAAATGTAGCCTAATAATAAATAAAACACACCGGCTTGTAGCTTCACACAATCCAGTTTTTACAAATAGTAAGCGTAAAAGCTCGAGGGGACCCAAGACGACCCTTTACACGACCCTATGAGTGAAACTGTTAAGGTTCGTTAAAATTAAGACAGCAAGCTGTATTTTAAAGTTTGGTGTAGCCTATGGGTAACACCTTTTAACAAATGGCCGATCCATAAAGAGTCACAGAAATATAAATGGAAAAACAAATGTAAAAGATACAAAGTTAAATATGGATTGCTGTAGAGTCAAACTGCTCCCATAGAAACTGAGAAGGCTGTTTCACCTGCCATGAATGTCATTGACTGGTAGCCAAGTTGCTGTTAGCCATGATGTGATA